CGCTCTTTTTGATTTTGTTGTTTTCAGGAAAGCAGAAAATTTCGCGTCGGCCCTTCTGTATCCCGCCCCTGTCCCGTTTCTCCACGCGCCGGTAGCCTCCTTTCTTTTTTTTTTTTTTTTTCTTGGTTGCGGTTTGTTGTTGCTTCGCGGAGAGGCCACCGCGCGTATTGTTGGCGCTGACTGAAGGGTTATCCTAGAGTTCCTGTATATGCTACCTACGGTAGCAGAGTTGCGCATTCAGCCTCGGCGCGTGGCCGTAGCGCCGGCTTTCCCGCACGAGCTGGATGCTTTGCTCCCCACGTGACTAAATTTGGCGACTAGCGGCGCCGCGGGCGCCGCCGCTCATGGAAAACAGGAGAGGAGGAAAAGAAGGCGGAAAGCAGGGAAACATACACCGGGGCAAGAGAAACGTCGGCGGAGCGACCGTAAAGGTGGCTTTCTTACACGCCACCGGATGCTTTGCTCCTCACGTGATGGATCTCGGCGAATAGCGGCGTGGCGGCGCGGGGAAAACAAATGCGCAACTCTGGCTCCCGGAGGGAGCCTATACAGGAACTCTAGGTTATCCTAGAGTAACTGTATATGCTCCGCTTGCGGAGCAGAGTATAGACCTTTCCAGCGGCAGTCTCGAACGAAGCGATTTACAGCGAGCGTCCCTGGTTTTGAGAGTGTACATCAGTGTTGCCCGACTGCGCTGGGTTGTGGGTTTTCTCGTCAGTGGACTGTGGCAACCTGTGTAAGCGCACTCCCGGACGCTGGTGGCGGCTAAATCGCCGCGTTTTATCTTTTCTTTCGTGTTCTATGACGAATAGAACTTTTCGAGGTTTTTAAGAACGCATTGTACTATTTTTGGGAGCGAAAACAAACAAATGAAAGCTGTTTTGGTGAGTCCGTCCGTGACAAAAAAAATGCAACAGGAATGTTTTTTTTTTTTTAATGTTGATCTTTTTACGGCACCATACACTCAGCCGTGTCAATCTACAAATGTCTTCACTGTCGAAAATATTTTACCACAAACAACAGCTCAATGGTATGGGCATTCCCCGCTCACAAGAAGAAATTCAACGAGTCTCATCAGTCGAACAACATATATTGTACGTACCCCACGGTGCCGCGTTATCCGAACAGGATTTGAGAAAGCTCTCAGATAACATAGCATATCCAATATACAGTGTCCACGATAGTCACTTCATGATGAGCGAACCGAGTCCGGCTTGTAATAGGGCACGTCTTCAAGAAAACTGCTTCTTTTGCACAGCACCAAAGCAAATGAACGATAGTGTCAATTCCGGCCCCACACCCCGGACCCGACCCTATCAGCTATGTTTCGCGAAGACTGGGAACATAGCTGGGAAGGCTTTTCGGAGATTATGTCAACGAAAATAATCCTCGAAGAATGTCGAATGGCCCGCGTCGCTGGCTACTTGACGTTCGCTTTCTTCGTTTGTTTCCTGCGAAGGCCGAGCAGACTACGGGTCCTGGTGTTCACTGGTTCTCACAGTGGAAGATACACACAAAGGGTAACTATTTTGAATAGGGAAATAAAGTAAAAACTTTCAAGAAAAGCCGGCGAACTTCAATGCACGATGCAGGTGGGGAGTCGCGCTAACCGGGTTTCCACATCTCAGACAGGTGACAGAAATTTCTGACTGATAGGGGTCGCTCGAATCGCAAAATGGCGGCAGCCAGAGAGCTCTTTTTGCAACGGTCTATACACGAACTCATCTCTGTTACGCCACGCCGTGGTGGTGGTGCGTCGGGCGCACTTCCGGTCTGGGGCTGTGGGCGGAAGTCACCGTGCGAGACATGCATTCCTGTGTTCTTTTGGAAGAAACCAGACAAAAATCTACCTTTCTGTCAAGACGCCGAGACGCGGGCTGTACCAAAAGGGTCGGGAAAGGTGTGAAGATCAGTTTTCATGTATTTTTTGCCTCCTCCGTTCGTCCGAGCACAAGGATAGTAGCCGTGAAAAGGTCAAGCCAGACGCTGTCGAACTACGATTGCTTGTGCGGGAAATACTTTGGGTTGAATTCACGGATACGTGTGGTCGTCAGATTTATTTATTTTGTTCTGACATGAACGAGGGAAAACCATCAAGTTGTGCGGACCACCAGCGGGTTCAGTGCGTCTTGAAATTCAAACTGCCGCCTGATTGTTCGAACTGCAGTCTGCTCTTTCAAACTTCTCTGCTTTTTGTCGTCTGCTCGCTCAAACAAAAGCGGCCCGTAGACAAAATGTTGACCCGGAAATTGCGACAAAAAGTGATTGCATGCATCGAAAGACTTTTAAGTAGGCTCGGTGCAAATGGTAGGTGCAAGATGTTAATCATTGGTACCAGTGGCCATCACCGACTTTTAAGCCTAATTTACTTGGTCTGTTTTCGCTTTCAATTTTCAGTATCGACGTCGATCATCGCTGCTACAGTCAACACTTCTGTAGCACGAGCGACGTTGCGACCTAAAATAACGAGAATAATCTTATGGTATTGGCGTCCATTCTGCGGCTTTCACGCGAATGAATCGCCGCCCGTCAAATTATTGGCGCAAAGTTTTGCGGCGAAACAAGCCTTGATAATTTCGCTCAGCTACTAAAGTAGTAAGACATTGCTAGGAGGACGTAGAATCGACATTTCCAACGCGAAAAAGAGTGCGCAGACTCACACAGACGCCGACAACGTGAAATTCCAATGGTTTGTTGAAGCGGGACTCGGTGCTTCTTACCCACACTCCATCGCGCATGCGCGGTGGCAGTGGCGTGCCGCTAAGGGCGCTCCGCCGTGTTGGATCCAAGGCCGCACTGCAGGAAGTGACTGTTGCTTCTACAGGAGCCCCGGTGGCGCGGATGGCGTGGCCAAAAAAATTGGGTTGTGTGTGTGTTTATACAGCCTAGAACTTGGTCTGCCTCACAGGGGCGACGAGTCTCCCAGCTGTAGATGAGAAATTTAGCCAGTGCGGTACAACCGCTAGCCTGGGGTCTTTAACGTGCATCACGCAGTAGTGATACACGACCGCACGCCGGTACGATGCTCATCCAGATCGAGACGGGCAGGGGTGGGGCTCGAACCCAGGATCCCTATGTTCTGCAGCGCGAGCTTTCGCTCCACGTGCTCCGAGCTGGTGTGCGCTAGACCACTCGGCCACCGATCCCCCCCAGGATGGCGTGGCCCTGAGACGGCGCGCTGCGGCGTGCGGTGCGGTGACGCGCCGCGCGTTCGCCGTCGTCCTGTCATTTGTCTCCTGTTTGTCTCTATGCCCTCGGTAGAATGGAGTATCCATAGGGTTGTTCGTTTTAGGGTTTTACTTTTTTTTTTTTTTAATTCGGGGGATAAAACTCGGGTGCTATTTTTCAAGCTGATAATCGGGGAGAAACCGGGTTTTTTGTGGAAACATTCCGAAATTCGGGTTTTTTCGGGGTAAATTTGGTTAAATTTACAAATGTACTCAGTAAAACATTCCGATTTTTATAAAATTATTATTGGAGGGTATTACGAGCTCCCTAATGCCAGCGCGTTAAAATTAGGGATCTGTTTCAAGCTGGTAATCGGGGGACCTCAGGGTTTTCTAGCTCCGATTGCCGTCTGTCGCTTCAAGGGAAGCACCGCCCATGGAATCCTCCTTTTCGGATCAGGTGTCAACAAAAATCCCGAGCGTTCGAGGGACGGTTTTCTTCGAGCAGATATTTCGCTATGCAATGAACCTGTTAAGTTTTCCCGATCTGTTTACGCGACTGACAGACTCGGACGTTGTTCGTGAGAAAAGTTGGACGCCAGCGAGATGTCCATGCTCCCCGAGAGGCCTTGCTGGGCGTCGACAACTAGCAGCGGTCGAAGGGGATTGATAGTGCATTTCACAAGCTGCGTGCAGCAGGGCCGAAGCTACATGGCGTGCCGAGGCGGTTCCACCTGCACAGCGGGGGGCGGAAATGTCCCCTCGAGGCCCCAACGCTTATTGTCGCTTTTCCTCAGCCGGCCTCCGTAGAAAGTCACGGTGAGTTGGGCGGTTGGTTGAGAGCCATGTAGGGGGCGTCCACAATGCTGCACGCAGTTTGCGAAGTGTCACTGTTGTCCAGAGGTAGAATAGATGGTGTGTGTGCACCGAAACTTCACGCAGAGTAAAAATAAGTTTTAGAACTCGGAGAGAAATCGGGTTCAACCCGATTCTTCTGAAACATGTTCGGGGTGTAAAAATCGGGTGAAATCTGGTTTTACCCGAAAACGAACGGCCCTAAGTATCCGACGAAAACGTCGTCTCTTCGCAAGCCGTAGTTGCGCGTCGTTTTCTGGTTCGAAGCGCCCGGATGTGCCGGCCGCGTATCACTCAGCGAGCGCCGCAGACGCGAGCAGCGCGATCGTCCTTCGTGTCGTCTGCAGTGCTTCTCAGGCTTTGAAAACATGTTTTAAAACATCGCTCGCGTTATAAAACAACGTGATTATTTATACTGTACCCAGTGGCTACACAGAACGCTCGATGGTGAAGGTACCTTGCAGTTCGTTCGATTTTAGTGTAGGGTGTATATTTCGCAAACGCAGGGCGAGAAACATATTCCGTCCGAAACTTGGCGCCTGCAAGGTACCTTGCCCGAATTAGATCAGCTTGGCGCACGCGACTGCTTCTCCGCCAATACGGCGTTGGCGGCGGAAGGAAAAGGAACGCGATGGTTACCCCAGAAGTGACTTTTCGCTACCATATGGGTAACCGTTCGGCGCTGTTCCTCGCCTTTCTCCGGCGGCCGTGCGCTCAATGGTTTCGCCGTGGAAATGACAGGCTTTGTAGAATAAAGGAAGCTATGGTAGCCCGTAAGCAGTCCTCACTGCTCGAACTGCTGCCAGAATCAACGAGGTCACACTTGGCACTGCGCATCACGCTAATAGGCCTAAATTCCAACATACGCATGACTGAACTTGGGAGTTGTAAACTGCCGTCTTCAGCCCTGCCATTATAACCGACCCTACTAGTCCCAGGGCCCCTCAGAAATGGATTGCTTCTCTGCATTCCTCGCAGGGGACGATCCGCTGGTGCTGGGCCTCTGGAGACACCTTGCAATGCAGGAGCTCAGCATCGACCTGGACTCGATGCTGAGTCAGTACGCCGCTGAAGGGGACTCGGGCATCCACGACTCTTCCGAGGGGCACCCGATGGCGGACGACGACGAGGGCGACTCCACCGGCGACGGCGGGCCCACGCTCGAGCAGCTGTACAGTGAGCTCAGCCAGCTGGCCAAGGGGGACGAACGATCGGGCCGAAGTAGCTCGTCCGAGGAGTCCCCGGACAATTCGACGATGGCTTCTGGTCTGGACATCTCCTCTGCGGGCGACGTGGTCTCCTAGCGCCTGCGATGATTCTGTGGTAGACTTCGCGTCATCAAACTCTGTGGTGTTCAGGAGATCATCCCCAAACTGTTACGTGGTCCCAGTGATTGTATGTGTGTATGTTTTGTTAAGAAGGATCCTGGGTATAACGTTTCAAGTCAAACAGGTGCGAAGCTAAGTGCATCAACGTCATTATTCAAATCGCGCCATGCTGGCTATTACCAGGTCTTCATTGGTTTGGCAAGCTCGAACCTACCGCAGGTATATGGTGCTCCTGTAGCCTTTCAATATTTTATCTCTAACGTTCAGCGCACCTTAACGGGAAAAAACTGTGCCATCTGGTGTAGTGCCCTCCTTTGGCTAGTGTTTGCATAAACTGTGTACTAAGCAAAGCTGAGCTCGCGCGCCTGAATTCTGAGAACTGAAATTCCCTTCCCACGTCTTATCAATGTAGCAGAGAAGCATCTGTTCGTATTATGAAACAGTTTGTTCCCCCGGAAGAAACGAATGAGTCTATTGTAATGAATAACCAACTAGCCCCACAGTTAATTTTTGAGCATATTGCACCGTAGCCACACCAAAGAGATAGTTTGAGGGACTGTGCCAGCAAAAAACGTCAGGCGTCTGAGGTGTTATTATGTCATGGGGCGGTTTGCGCCAGATGAACGCTGCATTGACATTTTTAGCGCGTGGCTAATAAAGCATGAAGTTGCGGTATAGGTTATACATTACATGCCAATTATGTACATTGTTTGTGTTAGATTACAATACCAACGAGTTGATGTTTCATCGTGCTTCGTCCTTCATGCTTCTTCTCATTTGCAGATGGCTCAGCTGAATAATAATATATGCTCACCTCCTGTTGTGCGACAATGTGACGTGACATTGCATGATATGTGATGAGCTTTATCTCTAGAAGCGTGATATATATGAAGTTGTGTACTGGCGAATGAAGGTTTGGTATGTCTGATATGAGCTGACACACTCAATCTGGGCTTTTGCTATGCCTACAGTTCTAACAAGATATATAATCTCTCAAAGTGCGAAATAATTCAAAGATTAAGACCCAAGCTTAGGCTCCAACACATGTTTGCACCAAAGTTTCTGTAAAAACAAACGGCAAGCCGAAAGAGCACGCGGAGGCTGTTTCAGTCACATTGTCCGCCGTAGTACACTTAATATGCACGAAATATAACCACTTCCAAGCGTTTGTAAGTGCGGTAATGTAATGAACGTTGTGATGACAGCTTGTGTGAGAATTATTAAACATGTAATAGCACCGGTTACTGCGCTTTTCTATTTACTAGTCATCTCGTCACGCCGCCAATCTTTTCGAGGCGGGAATTTCGCACCAAGATGAGGATTGTGTATTTTATCCCGATCATCAGCTTACAAGATATTATCACTGAACGACAGTAATAAACATAATATTACTACGGAATCTATGAAGCACGGACACACTGCTTATTTTAAACTGAGGAAAAGCTACTGTAAGTTTGTTTTAAAATAGCAAACATTGCTATTTCTTTTTACGACGTAGACCCCATTCAATTTGATAACTCCACTTCATCAAACACCGAAAGTTTAGTTGTGGCCCACAAGGTGTAACGAATGGCATTACGTGACTATTTCGACGACCACCTTCAAAATAATTCAAATCTTATTTCGACGTCTATGACGTCACATACCTCAAAACTCAAAATAACAGTTTGCATTAATCAAGACTATTATTCCAACGTCTCTTACGTCATTTTACCGTCAAAATAACTCAAATTGTACTTTGACGTCTATAACGTCACTTTCGTATTACGCAAAAATAATACGGCAATTTTTTTTCTGACGTTTGTTGCAAGTTGTTTTGCAAGTTGCACCAAGGAACGGTGACACGATAGCTCGGTGAGACCAGAGGTTTAATATGGCGATCGGTTCAGAGCCGGGTACGTACTATAAGCACGAGCGCAAGGCACGAATTCATGCGCACGAGCGACGGAGCTCTCTCAGCTCGGTTGCTCAGTGTAGCCCTATCCAACATCTCCCCGAAACATAAGTGTCAAAGTCTCTGGGGAGCCTGGACGCATTGGGCACTTCTCGTGAGTGAATGAGGATGGCCTTCGCATTCTGTAAGGAGCTAAACCTACAAGATAGCGCCAAAGAGACAAGGACACGAAGTATACAAGATAGCGCTTGACTTGTATACCTCTTCTCCTTGTCTTTTTTGCGCCCAACCAACGTACCCTACTAAACTGTAAGTGGCTTTTGAGCATCTTCGCTGTCAAAAACTTCCGCATTACGGACATTTGCAGGAAAAGGAACAAGATTAGTTAGGTTACGTCGCACCACCCCGTTGTCAGTGTCCACGAAGTAAGACCTGGGTTCCTCTGCTGGTCTCTGCACTGTACGTTTCTGCTTGATGTCGGTGATCCAAAGTTCATCTCCATCTAGGACTTCAGGCAGTGCGCGTACGCCATGCCATCGATTGAAGTCTTCCTTCTGGTGCTCCCGATGCAGTTCTTCAAAGTCGTCAAGGTTTCTCATGTCGGGCATTGGGGGCATGAGCACCTCGGGAACAATAGGGGGCTTGGTTCGTAAACGTCGACCCATAATTAGTTCAGCGCAGCTGTACCCGTTCTTCAGCGGAGTCGAGCTGTAAGACAGAAGGGTGAAGGACTGGTCTTTCGTTTTTTCTATTAATTTCTTGATGCATTTCACGGCCGCTTCCGCAAGTCCATTACTTTAAGGATAATATGAACTTGAGGTATTCTCGAGCAAATGTAGCGAAGTCAGAGGACGAGAACTGAGGTCCACTGTCGGACACTACCACCTCGGGAATGCTGTGGCGAGCGAAGATTTATTTGCAGTGGTTAATGACTGCAGGCGATGTAAGTTTCTCAAGTCGTGCTATATCAAGGTACCTTGAGAAATTATCTGTCATGATCAACCACCAGTGGCTGTTGAAGTAGAAAAGATCGATTGCAACGCGCAATGGTCAGTCAGGAAATTCCGTATTTTGAAGCGGCATCTTGCGGTTGTACGTGGTTTTGATGCATTCGTTGCATTGCTTTAATGTGGCAGTTATCTCTGCTGCTACTGTCGGCTACCAGACACAGTCCTTTGCTTGTGTTTCTGTTTTTGTGATGCCGAAGTGGCCTTCGCGGAGACGCATTATCTCTTGTCTGCACCAAACAGGAACGACGACACGGGCTGCATAGAGGAGCAAGTCGTCTTCTATGGTGAGCTGGTGTTGGTGCTCAAAGAAAGGTTTCAGGTCTTGTGACAAGTCTCTCCTGGATGGCCACTCCTCTGAGCTTAGTTTTCGTAGCTGGTTACAAACTGTGTACGAATTTTGGCTCTCTTTTAGCCATTGCAGGCAACGGTCCTTGGCTGGGATAGCTTTGTTCAAGGAACAGTTGAAAGTTTCAACGTCGTTTTCAAGCTCTGTGTCCCCTGTCTGCTGTAGAGGTGCTCGCGAAAGTGTGTCGAACGCCAGTAGGCATTTCCCTGTTACGTATTTTACGCTGTACTGGTAGCGCATCGTCCTCATCTGTAGCCTCTGGAGTCTCAGTGTCAACTAGTCAGGAGTTGTCGACATGAGAATGGGAACGAGCGGTTTGCGGTCGGTCTCCAGCTTGAAGGTTTTTTCCAACCAAGTAGTCCTCGAACTTCCTCCATGCCCAGACTAAGGCAAGAGCCTCTTTCTCAATCTGCGCGTAGCGCTTTTTGGTGTCTGAGAGCAATCTTGAAGCCTACGCAATGACAGCAAACTTGTCATCGGTTTCTCGCTGCCAGATCAATGCTCCAAGTCCGAAGTAGGAAGCGCCTGCGCTGACGACTGTATCCTTCCTGCGGTCATATACGCAGACCTGCCAGCCCTACAATGCTGAAAATACTACAGGGGATGCCAAAAAACACTACAATTGTGTGAAGAAATACGAAAACTGTTTTATTCTTCAAACACTTGGTTTAGGTAAGAAAAATGCCTCAACTAGGGCAAAAACACATCATGCATTGCACAAAATGTCTTATTCTGTAGATTTAGAAGGTTGGGTCAACACCGAGTAAGTTGCAGCTTTTGCTTTTCTGAGGAAGTTGCTGTCGAACACTTGTTCATTGCACTTTCCGGACTGGCTGCATCTCACAGCTAACAACTATTCAAGAGTCGTTTTCGACACTGAGGAGCGGAACTGCGTGTGTCACTTTGCTGAAAACTCTTTCGCCTGTGCCTGGTTTAACGAATACGTTAAAGAGCAAAGTTCTTGCTCTTTAACGTCTCCGCAACAACCGGTGTGAACGGCACGTTGTGTTCGATCAAAATGCCGTAAGAAAGCATTCTGCTTGGGCAGTGTCGTAATCCGTTGATCGACTAGTGTATCCTCCAAGCTTCTCGTTGGTTTCAACTAATTTTGCAGAGTCCTTGTGCTTTTTTGTATTCATATGACACAGAATGTCCCGGCGACCAGCGTGCGAAATGTTGACATCCTAGCGACACAGACTACCAAATCCGTACCTTTCGCCCTTACACGACGTCTTCATAAATGGAAAGTCGGTGGAATAGCTGGGAATAAACACTTGCAAGTATTTGTTTCCCGACATCTTGTACCAAAGGTGGTTTCAAGGGATCATGAGTAAACGTTCCAGTAACTCAGCGCACAACGTTCGTCACAACCAAGATCGCCACAACAAAGGAGATTTCCTAAACAGTTTTGGATTAAGATGGATGGATGGATGTTAGCGGCTATACCACCCCTTACAACACTGACCTCAATGACAATTGCCTCACAACGAGGAGCGGTAGCTTGCACCTCCTGGCATACAAGTCAATGTACCAGTGTTGCCAACCCCAACTTGTAAACAGGCGAGATGTAGCTTAAACAAAAACTTTCTTTTACACAGGATGCGGAAAATCGTACAAATATTGTTGTTAATACGATAACCGTAAGAAAGCGCTGGAAAGCGGACACTTTACGATAAAATCGTGAAACTTGGCAGGTATGTATACGCCTGCAGTACTGGACGAGAAGATAGTACTGTCTGCCAATTGTCAATTGCTTGTTGCTGTGGAGAGTCCCAAAGAAACTCCTGCTTCTTCGACAACAAGGATGAAAGTGGCTGAATAACCTCTGAAAGGTTTGGCACAAAGCGGCCAAGGTACGTGGCCATACCCAGTATTCTTTGCAGCTCACTTTTGTTTGTCGGGCGTTTCATTTTCAAAATAGCTTCTACCTTCCTTTCATCGGGAGTGATGCCGTTTTGGTCTAG